GCTTACTGGGAAGTGGGGTGGCCTAATGGATAAGCATCAGCCTCCGGAGCCTGGGACTGTGGGTGTGAGTCCCACCCATGCTGCCATCCCCACCCCTTCCAAGACCAGAGCACCAGCACCACCACTCTGCTGGCGGGGAGAGAAAGCCCCCAGGGGAATGGCAGAGTATGCCAGAGCACCAGCACCACCACCCTGCTGGTGGGAAGAGAAAGCCCCCAGGGGAATGGCAGAGTATGGACACACTGCCTGGAGACAAGTATCAGAGGGATAGCCATGTTAGTCTGAATCTGCATAAACAATGAGAAGTTCTGTGAAACCTTATAGACTAACAGATTTATTGGAGCATAAGCTTTTGTGGGCAAAGACCCACTTCGTCAGATGCATGTCATGGAAATTCCAGAGGCAGGTATAAATATACAGGCATATGAAAAAAAAGGAGTACCAAACAAGAGTAAGGCTAGAGATAATGAGGTCAATTCAGTGAGGGAGGGTGAGGACCACTTCTAGCAGCTGATGTGGAGGTGTGAACACCAAGAGAGGAGAAACTGCTTTTGTAGTTAGGTAGCCACGTAGTCTACAGCATCAATCTATAAGCTTTTGCTTATTGGTTAATCGACTACACTCTTACATCCCTAGGTGCTGAGTCTTTAGAACCGAGTTCTCCCAGAGCTAAAGTGGTTCACTGTCTGCATGGCTCTGCAGGGATGAAGTAAAACTCTGTGCCTTGTCTGGGGGGGGGGGGGGGCCAGAGGATTTGGCCAGGATAAGATGGTGGGGAAGCCAGAGATAGCAAGGCAGACAGACATCAGTGGCATGATCAGAACACTGGGGAACAATTCCAATGGAGACTTTTGTGATTAGACCCCATCACATATACCCTAGAATTAAGTGTCTTATTGATTGTTCTCCTCTAGAAGAAAGTATGTACAGGAGGAGATTAGGTTATTCTGCAGGAGAAGAGGTTTCATATTACAATGTAAGGATATGGTATCACTGTATTATTAAAAGCAGAGGAGAGTGCAATAGGATATCATTTCCCATCTAACCGGACAGATGATTCCAATACATATTGGATAGGAAACATCCACACGACTCTGGCACAGCATTTAATAGTGGAATTATTTGTATGTAAGAATTTGTGGGAATGCTACAAAGCTTATCTTTCCTCAAAGGCATCTAAAGGAGGTACTGGAGGGAAATTTAACTAGAGTCTTATGTCTCACTACAATGTCTACTTTTTGTTGAAGTCTATTAACTTGAAAGGTTTAAGTAGGAAAAAAGCTGATGAACTAATATATAACATTGCAAAATTTTCGATTTTAACTGCATTTTTAATTTGTGGAGGTTTCCTGAGCTCTAAATAATGTCTGAGAAATCAAATAAATATATAAACATGACATGAGTGACAGCAAATATACAATTAAGATATAATGCTAACCGCAATATAAACATAGTATGTCTAGGAAATATTCAGTACTGTCCACACTATTCCACTGAGTCTCTGGAATTGAGAGTGAGCATAACATAAAGGAGACAAAAGTTTGGTCTCTAGGAGATGATCCTAGATACAATTTCTGCACAAAATGGTATGCCATCAAACAGCATGAAACAGAACAAGAAGAAATGAACTAGTACCTGGAGTGAAAGAACAGGGAACTCAACTCTTGCTACAGTCCACGGCTATGTGTACACTCGCGGCTTCTTGCGCGAGTAATATGCAAATTAGACTAAGCGTGGAATATCGCCGAGCCTCATTTGCATACCTAATGAGCCACCATTTTTTTTATGCCGAGCCTCATTTGCATACCTAATGAGCCACCATTTTTTTCCAGAAGACGCTCTTGCACAACAAGGAGCATCTACACTGCCCCTTCTTGCACAAGAAAAACCCTCTTGCGCAATACCGTTCTTCCTGAAAAGTAATAGGTGTAACGGTGTTGCGCAAGCAGTGTAGACGCTCCTTCTTTCGCAAGAGCCTCTTCTGAAAAAAATGGTGGCTCATTAGGTATGCAAATGAGGCTCAGCGATATTCCACGCTTAGCCTCATGTGCATATTACTCGCGCAAGAAGCCACGAGTGTAGACATAGCCCAAGTGTATTTAACAAGCAAAAGATAATTTAAGGGAAAAAACAATGTATTTATGTTCTGTTTATTCCCATGAATGCTGCCCTCATACTGCCTTGTGTGCAAACTTATCATCATTCTCCTGACCTCTGTTGAGCTGCATAGACCACAAACAGCTTAGAATGGAAAAAAGCAGTGTACATTCTGCTCTAGGAAGAATACCAAAGCAGTTTCATAGCATTAGAAAAACAGAGCTGCATCTGAGAGCAGGGAATCTGATGGCAGAACACAAAGACTTCACAGCAGAACCACTAAATCCTGGGTCATAACTTGTTTCCTTATCACACTATTGGAGCTACATAGGGAAGGATTGGGTTGGGGAAATACACAAAGAGTTAGGGGCAGGTTTTTAAAAGCATCAATACCCATTTTGTACGGAATTCCCATTGTACCGCTGAAAATTTCCCCACTGACCCTTTCTCCAAAGGAACTAACAACTTACAGGAACTACAACTTACAAACAACAGAGACAACCAAACCCTGGGCTGGAGCAGGGGTCTAACGCAAGCCAAAGAACAGGGTAATAATTGCCACAGTTACGTTTTATTTTGATGACGGTTCTCTCATCCCTTCCACTTTTTAATTCAGAGTAGAGATAATGGAGGGGGAATGGCAGAAATGGAGGAGTTAGTACAGCTATGACAATGACAGCTTGTCACCCTCCTAGGTCTAATAGCAGGTATGGTTTTGTAGGCATTAGGGATGTAAAATCCCATTTACTGGTTAACCAGTTAAACATACTGTTTAACCAGCTAACCAAGTAAAAGGTAGGCGGGTCAGCTCCATCCTGGCTGGAGCAGCCTCGCCACCAGCCCTGTGGCAGGAGCAGCCCCTGACGTCAGCAGGCCCAGGACGACGCAGCCCACCTGCAGGGCGCCTGGGTCTGCCAAAGCAGCCCCTGTTCACACTAGGCCCCTCCTGAGGTGCTGGAGCAGCCCATTGCACATGTCAGGCGGGGAGCTACTGCAGCCCCCACCAGTTATCCTTAATGGATGAAGCTTACTGGTTAAGGTTAAGGCTTACCAGTTAACTGGTTAAACATTCACATCTTTAGTAGGCAGCGTGAAACAGGTGAGTCTGAAGGAGATATGTGAAAGAGGATGAAACTGTGGCCTTTGAACTTACTTGCCATTTTTACCTGTACTGTAACTGAATACTTTGTCATAGCAGCTGCCTGTTGATCATGGTTGATATTTAGTTAAGGATGAACTCTCCTATGCTAATACAAATCTTATTAGAACAGGACAATAGAAAATGACTGCTATACTGCTCAAGCACCTGGTATAGTTCCAGTGCCTTCCTCGCCATAGGAAGAGATGAAAGCTGTAGTGATGTTAAAACAATTAACTGTTTTAAGTCAGGGCCTCACGCCCAGCCTGTTGCCTGGTCCCACCATAGCTATGGGATCCTACCACCTGGCTCGCTTGCCCCTCTGCAGCTGGGGCTGCTCTGGCCCGGCTCAGTGCACCTGGCCTCTGCCTGATTTCACCGGCAAGGGTCAGCGAACTAGTAAGCATACGGGTAAGTCTCATGCTTACCAGTATACCATTTAACATCCCTAGAAGGTTGTGGCACCCACAACTCAGCTTCCATTCTCTCTAAATGCTCCTGAGAAAGTCTGTTCAAAGTAGGTTTGCACTGAAATAGAAACCTCAGCTATAACATCTATACACCTTTAATAGTCAATAGGAAGTCTATTGACTTCAATGAGTGTTGGATCAAGGCCTAACACTATACACTCTTTATAATGCCAGTGCCTGTATAGGTGTGTCTATTTGCCTTGCATTGTCTGTGCAACTAACTTGGATCTAACTGGTTTAGGGATAACTTGACTGAATACTGAAAAGGGGGTAAACATTAGTTTTACTCTAATCCACCAGCAAAAATCTGCAGCTGGCTAAACTCCTGTTACAAAACTCAGTATGAAAAAGTTCCATATTATTTCCTCAGTGCTTTAGCTTTATATCCTCTTCAGAAATATAAAACATTTGGGCAAAATGTATTCCTGAGGGGGAAGCTATCAACAGAAATGGACCGTGGAGGTCCTTTTGGGATGATTTGTGTTTTAGTTTATCTTCAAAATAAATGAAAACTATTAGAATAGTGAGGGGAAAACAGCATTAATATAATTCCTATAATATTAACAAATTTTATGATAATTAGTGAGTATGTCAAATTGTCTGCGAGTCTATAACCTTTTATATATGATGCTTTTTATTGTGACATCTCCCAGAGGTCAGTAGTTCTCAGTGAAGAAGTGAAGTGCTGTTTGTACAAGCCTGTACCTATTATTTAATAAAAATAACTATGAGACTAAATCAGGAATTATTAAAGGCAGAATGTTTGGTACAAAATGAGACTCAGTATTTGCTATCACCTGTCTCTCTCAATGTGTGTGCATGTGCGCGCGCGCGCATGCGAGAAAGAGAATAAATAAAATCCATTCTCTATGATCCCAAACATTTTAGTATTTGCTATCATCTGTCTCTCTCAATGTGTGTGCGCGTGCGCGCATACGAGAGAGAATAAATAAAATCCATTCTCTATGATCCCAAACATTTTCTAAATGAATACAACGGAAAGAAAAACACCACATTGAAACAGGTCATAAAAGAAAAAACCCAAATACTTCATGCTGGACTTTTAAGTGCAGATGTACTGGGCCCTTAAATGAACAACAGCAGTCAAGTTTTCCATTTCCTCAATAATGGAAATAGGTGAGCAATTTTCCTGTTAAAAATGGACGGGGTTTGAAGGAGGAAAGAAAGAGAATTACCCCCATTAGATGTTTACATATTCTCTGGCAGACTGGCATTAAGAAAAATATTTGCCACTTTTAAAGCCAATTAGCCTCTAAACAAAGAATCATACTTACCACATGCAATGGACCAGTAGACTTGAGAATCTGGTGTTTGATGCAGGATGCGAAATGGAGCCACTTTTGATGTTGAGTCCAAGACTGCATCTAGTGTCCCCATGAGAAGGCCTGTTGTATTTAAGGTACAGTGTTAGACAGTTTATTAAATAGAGAGCTATTAGGATGTTGCATCATATGTTCAGACTCTAATACTGCATTTCTTACTCAGCATGGGATATTACACATCTAAGTCACACACACTTCCACACCAAAAGGTTTTTTTAAGCAGATATTAGTTTTCAAAATAATTCTGTTGCACTTCCTATCAAGATAAAAGCCTCTTAAAGAATAACACAAACCAAGAGCAATTAAGTACCAGTAAGTTATGAAGCAAACCAAGAGCAATTAAGTACCAGTAAGTTATTTATACAAGTATACAAATCTTATCTTGCAAACTATAGTAACTGTGTAGAATATAAGTGAGCAAAATCACATTTTCCACCACCAGAAGCCAGCATTTGATAGTTTATACACTCTACCTTATATAAAATGATAAATAAATCATGTTTATATTTGTTTGAAAAGCTTTTGTTTTATTGTATTATTCATAACACTGAGCTCATTTGACACTTGGGCTTGACTTAGCAGATTTTTTACTATTATCTCTCTGGCCATTCTCCCAGTGTCATTTTTGGCTATGATACACAGCACAAGGATATATTTGCAAAGTCACCACTTTCAAAGACTGATGCAAGCACTCATTTTAAAAGGGTGATTTTATTATTTTCTGCTACAAAGCTATGCTGCTCAAAAAGTCAAAACGTTCTCAATATCTATTGCAAAGGCTGACAACATTTCACTAGCAGGTCGCTTCTGCCCCATTCTCACAGCTCCCATTGGCCAGTTTCTTTGCACCACATGAAGACCTGCTGCCCTCCTCCCCCCAAAGCCACGCAGAGACATGCGTGCCAGCAACATCTGGCTACCTTGAATGGTGTGGGGCCCACCTGAGTGCCATGCTGCGCCAGTGTCCAGGAGCTGCCTATGGTAAGCGCCTCCCTGCCAGGGCCTGGGCCTGGGCCTGAACCTCGCATCCTCTTCCACATCCCAAACCCAGGTCAGAACCTCTTCCTGAACCCAAACTCCCTTCCAGAACCTGTAGTCCCTCTGCCAGGGCCTGGGCCTGAACCTCACATCCTCTTCCACATCCCAAACCCAGGACAGAACCTCATCCTGAACCAAAACTCCCTTCCAGAACCTGTAGTCCCTACTAAATCTCTGCCTCAGCTCAGAATCCCCTTCTGCACCCAAACTCCTGCCTGGACTCCATCCCTGCTCCTGTACCCCAATCCCCTGCCTGGAGCTCCCTCTTTACTCAAATTCCGTCCCAGACCCCAAATCCCCTCCATTAATATAAGATAGTGCAGCCAAATAGTTGCCAACATTTTTAAGTGACACCCCACCCCAAGAAAATTATTGCTCACCCCAATGTACCTAATTGTTGCTACCACTGTTATATAATTGTAATAAATGTTGTCCAAATGTTGTCATGTAAGTTATCTTTGGAAAGGCTACGATTTGCTGAATAGGATTATGCTACTTGTATGCATGCAGCATTTTGTGTTTGAAATTGTGAACTTTTGGCTCTATACCTCTAGTTGTAAAATGTGTGGTCCTAGGTAGCACTCCCAAAGTATTTAGCCTGCACAACTTGAGGGAACTATTTGTGTGGCCCATCAAAAGAACACTGAACTCACAACAGAAGATACAATCTACACTGACTGGACTTTCCGGTGAATGTTCCATCTGAAGCACAGGGAATGGCCGCTACTACAACGGTAATGGACATGAGCCCTGCCCAAGTGACTCCAAACACTAGCTTGTCACCTGTAATGAGACCAATGGGTTTCCCTTCACTTGAGAGAAGCTATAAGAGGCCCTGAAAACATCTCCATTTTGCCTCTTTTCTGCTCAAGCCTCTGGACTGTGAACTTACACTAATAGAAGCATTCTGAGCAAAGGATTGAGGCTCTTCCAAAGATATGGAAGCAGGGGACTCAAAGCTGGGGGATAAGGAGAGGCTTAAGGCAGGGGGTGGGACATGCAGGAGTCAGGGCCGAGGGTGGAAGGGGTAGGGAGTCAGGGCAGAGGCGTGGGGGTTGCTGCAGGCTGTTCCCCAGAGTCAGCACATAGCGGCAGGGGCCACGCTACCCAGCCACTCCCTGGGGCACCAGGAGCAGTGCTGTCCAGCCAATGGCTGCTGCCTTGGGCAAGGCCAGGGCAGCAGGGGCTGTGCTGCCTGGCCAGCAGCTGCTCTACATCTCTCTGGGGCTATCGGGGCAGCGAGGATGTTCATGCTTGTGGCCCTCCTGTGGTCATTCTGAAGTATAACTGTCTCCCATGCTTGCTGCTCCCACCCCCGGTGGTCATTCTGCTATATAGCCATCCCTGCTATCACAGCCCTCCCTTTGGGTGCGTCTAGATACATGGCTCCATCAACAGAGCCATGTAAAGTAGTTTACTTGACATAGTCAATGAAGTGGGGATTTAAATAATCCCCGCTTCATTCAAACAAAAACGGACGCTGCGCTGTGCCGACAATCAGCTGATCCAGCACAGCACGGCAGTCTAGACGCGGCATGGTCAACAAGGGAAGAGCTTGTCGACAAAGGCTTCCCTTGTCGACCAAGCCGCGTCTAGACTGCCATGCTATGCCAGATCAGCTGATTGTCGGCATAGTGCGGCAGCCATTTTTATTTGAATGACGCAGGGATTATTTAAATCCCCACTTCATTGACTATGTCGAGTAAACTACTTTACATGGCTCTGTTGATGGAGCCATGTATCTAGACGCACCCAAAGGGAGGGCTGTGATAGCAGGGATGGCTATTGATGATGGGGAAAAAAAAAACCACACACATTCCACACACATCCCATTGTCTTGGCACAACTAAACTCTTACCTTGCTTTCAGTTATGATAAGAGGAAGGTGCATACTATGTTTGGTGGTCCTTGAGCTTTCCATTGAGGAGTTCTTAAATAAACAGTCTCAAAGACAGACAGATGGCCAGACAGAAACAAATGCACTAACTCTCTCAAATATATAGTAAATATTTAGATTTTAGAGAGTAAAGGATTGGCAATGGTGTGATTATTGGGTAAGATCTGAGTGATATATATACCTAGGGTTACCAGATGGTTTAAAAAATATACACGGGACACACTTGATCTCAGATTGGGGGGCGGGGCCAGCCAGCGGGAAGCAGGGCTGGCTAGGAGAGGGTTGGGAGGAGTGGGGCTGGCCGGGGGGGACGGGACGACTGGTCGCTGGGGAGCGGGGCTGGCAGGAG